AAACATTAAGAAGAAGGATTAAAAATTCAAAACAATAAAACCATGAATGAATTAAGGCAGGCTCTGAATCTCGTTCGTCCGTGGGAAGCGAAAAGGCGGCGGGTGACGAAACAGGACCCCGGCTGCAATTCCCACTGGGATCATTTTCCCATTATTTATTGCGCTTTTCGTTGGGCAATCAGACTGACGCAGTAATTAAGAGATGATTGAAAAGCAGCTTTTTTTTTTTTTTTTTTAATAATCTCACGTGAAGCAATTTCCTCTCTTTTTGTGGGAAGCTCAGACTCACCCGAGCCGGGCAGGGACCCCCTTTCCTTCATCCCACTGATCCCAAATCCTATTTCTTGCCCCGGAACCAGCTCTGGCAGCGGGAGAGGCAGCGCTCCACGATGCTGGAAGTGCAGGAGTTCAGGCGGAACGGGCTCCGTGAGGACGTTTGGGGTTTGCTGTCCTTGGCGTCTCCGGCGTCCCCGAGTCCCTGGGATTGGGAAGCGCAGGGATCCATGGAAATCCCACTTTGGGACACACAGGGATCCGTGGAAATCTCACTTTGGGACGCACAGGGATCCGCGGAAATCCCACTTTGGGATGCACAGGGATCCGTGGAAATCTCACTTTGGGATGAGCAGGGATCCATGGAAATCCCACTTCGGGACGCACAGGGATCCGTGGAAATCCCACTTTGGGACACGCAGGGATCCCCCAGGATCGTGCCCTGGGCCTGGCACGGCTCATCCGTGCCCAACTCCACCACCTCGAGGGTGCAGGGATCCACTACCGGGAGATCCTGGTGGAGCTTCTCCAGGTTGTCCAGGCAGCTCCCAGAGGTTTTGGAGACCCCGAGCTCCTCCTGGGGCAGCGAGAAGGTCCCGTCGGAGTCAGGGGGACAAAGCTCCACCGTCAGGATGGATTTCTGCAGCGGGAACTTCATCACGCACATCCCGGGGGTCTCGAAGGTGAAGGGTTCCTCTCCAGAGCTCGGGATTTTCACGGGATCGGAATCCGCGGGGAGGGACGGGGAGGTGACCCCGAGGGGGGCCTGAGGGGGGTCACAGGGACAGGAGGGACAAACGTCCTGGCACGGGCAGGGATCCGCCGGGGAATTCTGCTCCGGGGCCGCCACGGCGCAGGGATGGCTCTGGGCAGCCTCTTCCAGGCAGGAGCAGGGCGGACACTGGGAATTCATCTCCCTGCGATGATGGAGAGCTGCAAGAAAATGAACTATTTCACACCCAATCCCATGAAAAATCAGGGGGAAATTCCTCATTTTTTCACTTTTCTCTTCAAAGGCCCAAAATCAGCTTTTCTCATTAAAATCTGCTCTCAGCCGAACAATTCCAACAATTTGCCAACTTTTTTTTGGGATAACAATAGATTTGATTCATATTTTCAGGTTTATAAATTTCAAGCACTCCCTTCCCTTCCCCAGATGTTTTTCCCTTCCCCAGTTGTTTTCCCTTCCCCAGTTGTTTTTTCCCTTCTCCAGCTGTTTTTCCTTTCTCCAGTGGTTTTTCTCTTCTCCAGTGGTTTGGAATGGATCCTGGATCTCCTGGCAGGATGGGGTTTAATCCCACTAAATCCACTGCTGGAACAACAGGAATTTTCCAGAACATCCCTGAGAATTCCAGAATTACAGCCAAGGGAAGGATTTTACCCTCTGAAACCTTTATCCCCGAGGAAGCTGAGCACCACAAATCCCCCTTTTTCCAGCTTTCCAGGGAATCTATTCTGGAAAAGGACAACCGGGATCTGTAGGATCCCAAGGAGACTCACCTGGTCGGGATCGGCAGGATGTTCCTGGTGTGCTCCCGGGATGTTCCTGGTGTGTTCCCGGGATGTTCCTGGTGTGTTCCCGGCCTCTGGAGCTGCGGAGCCCCAGGCACCCGAAGCTCCGCACGGCCTCGCTCCGCCTCTGCCCCGCCAGGGATGATTTGCCTAATTATTTTTAATGGAAAACGCCTATTTCCGTGGCTGCAGCCGGACCTGGAGCTCGGGAATTCACGTGGCCCCGCGGACGCCAGGGAGGAATTTGGGAAATGAGTGGATTCCTGGCCCGGTGACGGAGCAGGGTTTTTGGGATGCTCCAACAGCCTCCAGCCCAACACCTCGTGAGGACCATTAGGGACAGGATGGGATGTGGGATTCGGGGGATTCTTTTATTTTTAGCCACGTCGTCTGACCTTTTTCTGTGGTGGTTTTCCACGGAGCTGCTGGAAACTCTTCGCTCACCGCTCGTCTCGTGATGTTTTCCATCCGCTCCCGAAGTTCTGACTCAAATCCCGTCCCCGTTGTCGTGACGGTGGCGTTGTCCTCGTGTGGCACGAGCAGGCAGGTGACCGGAGGAGTGACCACCACCCCTTTCCCTACATTTTACCCCAAACCCGCTGAATTCCACCAGGCTGGAAATCCATAAACCCAAAAACGTGAATCAAATCTGTTCCCACCCAAAAAAACCACTGGAAAATCATTGGAATTGTTGGGCTGAGAACAGATTTGAGCAAGGAAATCCCAAAAGGAGAGTTTGAACAGAAAAAAAAACAAAAAAAGGAGGAAATTTTTCCTGCAGTCAGCAACAAGCTCCCAACCCAAGGGGTCATGAATCCCAAATTTATTTATTTCCAGGAAATAAACAAAAATCTCACACTGGACAGCAAAATTTGGAGGGATAAGAGGCAAAACCCGCTTTGGTCTCCTGGTGGAAAACGACCTCGCCTCTGGTGCGAGTCACTCCTGTCCCTGGCTGTGTCACCGGGTGACTTCAGGCTGGGTGGCAGCGAGCAGAGGAGAATCCCAGAGCCTTTGATGTCTCAGGGGAACTGGTTGGGTCTCTCTTCCTTCTTTTCCAGGCAGGGACGGCTTTTCCGCGGGGAGAAAGCGGCGGCTCCGAGCTGTGATGGTTGCGTGAAGTTTGTCACCTTCTCGGGCTGGGTGTGACCTCCTGGCACCAGAAACGGGCACAAAAAATCGGCCCAAAGGCCACTGAGATCACAGAGCTCATCCCTCATCGCCCTGGGTGTCACCTGGTGGAGCTGGGACACGCGGGAGGAGGTCCTGGAAGGTCCTGGAGATCCTGGAAATGTGAAGATTTCCCTGGAGGCTGACGGGCCAAAATCCCGGCAAATCAAAGAAATCAAATTTGTATTAAAAAGGAAAAATCAAAGAATTGTGGCAAAAATGACCAGGGCAAGGATTGTCCCCTGGGGAGGGGAGTGTCCAGGGCTGTGTCCAGGGCTGGAAAATCATGGAAAGAGGGACAGGGAGGGATTTGGAGCCTGTCCAGGGATGGGAATGGAGCTGGAAAATCCTGAGGGAGCTGAGGGGGCTCGGCCTGGAGAAAAGGGGGATCCAGGAGGAATTTCGGGCTCTTCCAGGGAAGATTTGGGATCTGATCCCAGGGAATGGAACAGGACAAGAGGGAACGGCCTCGAGCTGTGCCAGGGGAGGCTCAGGGTGGGAAAATTGGGAAAATTCCACCTAGAAAAGGGAAAAGGGGCTTGGGGAAGGTTGGAGTGACCACCCCTGGAGATGTCCAGGGAATTCCTGGACCACATCTGGAGCTGTGTCCGATTTGGGTCCCGCAGCTCAAGACCAACCAAGGGCACCCCGATGTTCCAGCGACCTTGAGGAAAAGGAGGATTGGGAGACGCTGAAGGATTTGGGGATGATCCTGGGGCCTCTTTGAGCCATCCAAAATATTCATGGCGAGGCTCTTCCAGCTGAGCGATTGAGGGAAAACTGAGCAGATTATCAGGAATAAAATTCCCAGCAGAAGGAATATTGTAAGAGAACCAAGACCCATCCAGAGTCCCATCCCACCTCCATTCCCCAAATGCTCCAAAACAGATTTTTTCCAGAGTTTAATCCTGAGGGGGATTGTTTCCAGGCTGTCTCATCTGCATTTCCCAGTCCGTAGGAAATGCGTGGACGGGGAATTCCTGGCAGTCATGAGAGCCTCACATCCCACCCCGGCGACATTAAAAATTATAACGTCGAGCCAAGTAATTGAAGGATTGGAGCAGAGCAGGTCTGGATTATTAAATATTTGATTTCCATACCCCTGAGGTGTCTCACTTCCGGAGCCACGGACACCAAAATCCTATAAAAGGATTCCTATTGTCCTGCTCCCCAAGCCATTTTTGGTTTCATTTGGTGCTCGCTGGTGGAGAATTGGGTAAGTCCAGCTCGGTTTCCTTGGAAGTCACCTCGTGGTTGGGGTTTGTTTTTTTTTCATTTCGGAGCCGTGCAGAAGCAAATTAAAAGACTTAAAAGTGTTTCTGCTTGGGGATATTGGGGTTGGGATTCCCCCAGATTTTAATTCCGTCTTCTCCGGGGTTTATTTGCTGTGGGTTTTGCTCTTTTTCCGCCGAGGAGGATGAAGTTCTCTCTGTGTCCTCACCGACTTTGTGCTGTGCTTCACCCAGGGAATTGTTGGCGTTGGGAGAGATCAAAAGGCCAGGCTGGGACTTCAAAGGGGAGGAGTGGGAGGGGTGATAAGGAGTGGAGCCTCTCAGGCTGCCAGGGAAGGCCGCGGTGCCTGGGAGGAAAAATCCGGGTGGGAAGGGCCAGGCAGATTTTGTGGGAAAAGCAACCACGGCAGAGCCTTTGCTTGGGGAGGTTTTCCAGCACGGAGCCGCCACTGGCGTCCTCTGGATGAGGGCAGGGTGTTCCGAAGTCTTTTTGGGTGAAATCAGGGAAGAAATGGGAAAGATTCGTCCCAAACAAAGGGGAGGTGTGGGCAGGTGGAGGCTTCTGACCTAAAGGAGCCCAAATAATTTTTGCTTCCTGTTTTGAGAGGAAGCTGCTTGAAAACAGCTACAAATTTGTCTAAAACGCTTTAACGTGGAGTCACTTCCTCGCCTCACGGCTGTTTTCCCAGTTCAGGATTCGGTGCAAAAAGGATTAATTAATTCAGTGTATAGAACAGCCTGGAATGTTTTCACACCTTTTTTAAATTAGATTTTATCCCTTCCTGCTTCCAGCCTCCCCCTCTCCCCCCAAAGATGCGTCGCGCCACCGGCTGCCCTCTGAGCCAGATCTGCATCCCCCCTCCGGCCGTGCTGGTGAGGAGCTTCCCGGTGAGCTCCAGCCTGGATCCCTGCGGCACCACCGGCAGCTTCCCGGGCCTCCCTCGCCGCCGCGGCCCCTGCTGCTACCCCGGCGCCACCACCTACGTCAGCCTGGGCAGCCTGGGCAGCCTGGCCCAGGCCACCAAGCCCTGCGGCCTCGTGGCCACCTTGAGTGGCCCCCCGTGCGACCAGGACGTGGTTGGGTGCTCCACGAGGTTCTGCAGGAACCCCTGCTGCTGCTGCCGGGTGACCGAGAGCTGCAGCAGGAGCCGGGACTGCTGCCAGGAGGTGGCCCAGTGCTCCACGGGCACGTGCCAGGATCTGTGCTGCCAGGAGGTCACCAAGTGCGTCACAACGTGTCAGGATCCGTGTTATAAGGAGGTCACCACGTGCACAACCACGTGTCAGGATCCATGTTATAAGGAGGTCACCAAGTGCACAACCACGTGTCAGGATCCATGTTATAAGGAGGTCACCACATGCACCACCACATGCCAAGATCCGTGTTGTCAAGAGGTCACCACATGCACAACGACGTGTCAGGATCCGTGCTGCCAGGAGGTCACCAAGCGCGTTACCACGTGTCAAGATCCATGTTATAAGGAGGTCACCAAGTGCGCCACCACGTGTCAAGATCCATGTTGTCAAGAGGTGACCAAGTGTGTCACCACATGCCAGGATCCCTGCTGCCAGGAGGTCACCAAGTGTGTCACCACGTGTCAGAATCCATGTTATAAGGAGGTCGCCAAGTGCACAACCACGTGTCAGGATCCGTGTTATAAGGAGGTCACCAAGTGTGTCACCACGTGTCAGGATCCGTGCTGTCAGGAGGTCACCAAGTGCACCACAACGTGCCAGGATCCGTGTTGTAAGGAGGTCACCACATGCACCACAACGTGCCAAGATCCCTGTTGTAAGGAGGTCACCAAGTGTGTCACCACGTGCCAAGATCCGTGTTGCAAAGAAGTGACCAGGTGCACCACCACATGTGTGGATCCCTGCTGCCAGGAGGTCACCAAATGCGTCACCACGTGCCAAGATCCCTGCTCCAAGGAGGTGACCACGTGCACCACAACATGTAAGGAGGTCACCAAGTACACAACCACGTGCCAGGATCCGTGTTGTCGGGAGGTCACCAAATGCGTCACCACATGCCAAGATCCATGTTGTAAGGAGGTGACCACATGCGCCACCACGTGTGTGGATCCGTGTTGCAAGGAGGTCACCAAGTGTGTCACCACATGCCAGGATCCCTGCTGCAAGGAGGTCACCAAGTGTGTCACCACGTGCCAAGATCCGTGTTGCAAGGAAGTGACCACATGTACCACGTGTGTGGACCCGTGCTGCCAGGAGGTCACCAGGTGTGTCACCACGTGTGTGGACCCCGTGTGTCACCACTTGTGTGGACGCGTGTGGCAAGAAGGCTCCAGGGGCCTGACGCCATGTTACGAGCCCTGCTGCAAGAAGGTGACCAAGTGGAGCAGCCCATGGGTGATCCCGTGGTGCAAGAAAGGCGCCAAGTCCAGCGCCAGATGTGGAGACCCCTGCTCCAAGAAGGGGAGCAAGTCCAGCTCCAGATGTGTGGATCCGTGCTACAAGAAGGTGTCCAAGAGCTCCACCCCGTGCCAAGATCCGTGCTGTGTGACCAGGTGTGACCCCAGGTGTGTGGACACGTGTTGTCAGGAGGTCACCAAGTGCAGAACCAGGTGTGTGGACCCGTGCTGCCAGGAGGTCACCAAATGTGTCACCAGATGTGTGGATCCGTGTTGCAAGGAGGTCACCAAGTGCACCACCAGATGTGTTGACCCATGCTGCCAGGGAGGTCACCAAATGTGTCACCAGATGTGTGGATCCGTGTTGCAAGGAGGTCACCAAGTGCACCACCACGTGTGTGGATCCCTGCTGCCAGGAGGTCACCAAGCGCATCACCACGTGCCAGGATCCCTGCTGTGTCGCCAGATGTGCCACCAGGTGTGTGGACCCCTGCTGCCAGGGGGTGGCCAGGTGCCAAGATCCCTGCTGTGCCACCAGATGTGCCACCAGGTGTGTGGACCCCTGCTGCCAGGGAGTGACCTCGTGCCAAAGTTCTTGCTGCCAGGGGAGTGACCACCTGCACCACCACCTGCCAGGACCCTTGTTGCCAGGGAGTGACCACTTGCCAAGATTCCTGCTGCCAGGGAGTGACCAGGTGCCCAAAGCTCCTGCTGCCAAGGAGTGACCACCTGCACCACCACCTGCCAGGACCCTTGCTGCCAGGGAAGTGACCACCTGCACCACCAGCTGCCAGGGAGTGACCACTGGCCGAAATTCCTGCTGCCAAGGAGTTACCTCGTGCCAAAATTCCTGCTGCCAGGGAGTGACCACCTGCCAAGGTTCCTGCTGCCAGGGAGTGACCAGGTGCCAAACCCCTGCTGCCAGGGAGTGACCACCTGCACCACCACCTGCCAGGACACCTGCTGCCAAGGAAGTGACCACCTGCCAAAACCCCTGCGGCCAGGGATTGACCACCTGCACCACCACCTGCCAGGACCCTTGTTGCCAGGGAGTGACCACTTGCCAAGATTCCTGCTGCCAGGGAGTGACCAGGTGCCAAAACTCCTGCTGCCAAGGAGTGACCACCTGCACCACCACCTGCCAGGACCCTTGCTGCCAGGGAGTGACCACCTGCACCACCACCTGTCAAGACCCCTGCTGCCAAGGGGTGACCTCGTGCCAAGATTCCTGCTGCCAGGGAGTGACCACTTGCCAAGACCCTTGCTGCCAGGTAGTGACCACCTGCCAAAATTCCTGTGGCCAGGGAGTGACCACCTGCACCACCACCTGCCAGGACCCTTGCTGCCAAGGAGTGACCACCTGCACCACCACCTGCCAGGATCCCTGCTGCCAGGGACTGACCTCATGCCAAAACCAGTGTGGCCAGGGAGTGACCACCTGCACCACGACCTGCCAAGACCCCTGCGGCCAGGGAGTGACCACCTGCACCACCAGCTGCCAGGGAGTGACCTCATGCCAAGACCCCTGCTGCCAGGGAGTGCCCACCACGTGCCCAGCCCCGTGCTGTGTCCCCAGCCGTGCCACCTCTCAGTCCCGCAGGGGTGTCCAGGTTGTCACCAGGTGCGCCGACTCCTGTCCCACCACCTGTGTCACCCAGACCTGCCCCGTGTGCGGCCAGCGCTGCTCCGTCTCGGGCTGCCCAAAATTCCGGGCTCGCTGAGGGGCTCCAGGTTGGGATCCCCATGGAATCTCCGGAGGAAGAGTAAATCCTTGTTTTCCTCACGTTCTGCCCCATTCCTACTGTTTTTCACCTCAAGAAAGCGCCGTTCCTCACGGGACGTCACCGAGCGATTTTGTGCCCCCGGGATTGTTCCCCGGGAGAAAGAATCTGAAATTCCCCCTCGCACCGGGAGTGTGATGGAGGAATTCCCCTCTTTGTTCTGTTCTTCCTCCTGATCTTTTTCCTTGAAGAAATAAAAGAAACAATCTTGGACTCAGCCTCGCTCATTTCCTTCGCTTCCTTTTAATTCCTTTCCTAAAATCCCAAATTTTTGTAATAAAAAATGCTTGGGAAATTCTCGCTGGGATTGTGGAATGGGCACCCAGGGATCATCAAATCCAACTCCTGACCCCACCCAGGACATCTCCCAAAATCCCCCCGTGTCCTTGGGAGCATTGTCCTGGAGCTCTGGTGGGTTTGGGATGGTGACCATTCCTTGGGGAGCATGGTCAGTGCTCCCACCCTCTGGTGGGAAGATCCTTTTCCCAAAATCCAGCCCAGTTCCCACCCCTGGCACATCTCCAGCCTTTCCCTCAGTCCTGACATCCCTGAAATCCCAGATCAATGTGAAATCCCAAATCAATGCGTGAAATCCCAAATCAATGCGCAATATCCCAGATCAATGTGTGAAATCCCAGATCAATCTGTGAAATCCCAGATCAATATCTGATAACCCAGATCAACATCTGATATCCCAGATCAACATCTGAAATCCCAGCTCAGATGGAATTTCCAGCCTGGAAAAACACCTTGAAACCCCAAAAAAGATGAATTTTCCAAGCACTCCTCCATCACTCGATCCCAAACCCTCAGAAGGGGACCAGGACCATCCCAGGAGGTTCCTGAGTTTGGTCTTGGCTGGGAGCCGGGCCCAGGGAGGGTTTGGGGAGGGTTTGGCGGAGCAAATCCCGCTCGGAATGCGGGCGGGAGGAGCGGGGGTGGCGGCAGACGGGGCGCGACCGTCTGGGAGCCGCCACCGGCTCCTCTGAAGATGCCCCAAGGCCCGAGGTTGGTGACAACCTGCGAGCTCCTCCCTCGGAGCTCCTCTGATCCCCGTGGGGTTCCACTGGACTCCAAAACGCCTCTAAAATTCCTTAAAATTCTGTGCAAGCAAAGATATCCTTCGCTCCTTCTCCCAAATCCCTCGGTTTTCTGGGAAATAAAATGTAGGTGGGGGAAAAATGGTTTTTGGGTTAATTTTTCCCTTCTGGCGTGGTGCTGGTAGGAGTGTCCATTAATCCTTCACGTGTCCACAAAATTCACATTTGAATCATCTTGGAGCCCCCATTTCCAGAAACAAACAAACAAACAAATTGGAATTCTTCCTGCATGACCACCTGGATGTTTATTCCACACCTGTGGAATTAAAACAGGTAGGAAATTGCTGCTCACTACAAGGAAATGTTGTAGAATCCCCCTGGTTCCTCTGTCAGGTGAACTCTGAAATTTCCATGGAGATCAAAGCAATTTTATCCACAAAAGTAAAAAAAAAAATCCAGAGGGAAATCCAGAGATTTTTCCTGAAAAAATGGAGAAAATCAAAGCAAAGAAGGCAAAGAGATAAAAGAGGTGAGGAATTATTTTTTTTCGTAACCACAGCCAGTTCCTCCTTCCCAGATTTAATTACTCAGGCGCTAATTGTCATTCTTCCCCGAGCGCTCACCTTCCGCAGTAAACAGGAAAAGAGGCCGGAATGGTGGGATTTGGGTTCCTGTCATGGCTGGATCCAAATTGTCCCTCGGGCACGGACCAGAGGAGCCACTCACGCCCATGTGAGGCTGAATGTCCTCTCCTCTCATCCTCCTGGCATCCCAAAAATTCCAGGGCTCCCGGAGCCACCTGGACACTGCCCTGGAGCTGGCTCAGACCCTCCTGCCTCGCCCAGGTCCTTGTGGGAACGGGGAGAGGGGAAAGTTGGGTCTGATGAAGACTCAGGAGGGTTAATTGCGACCGGGCGTGGAAGGCTTGGGCAGGAAAATGGGGAGAATCTCTGATTTCTGTGAGAATTGATGGAAACACACGGAAAAAATTCGTTTTCTTGCTCGGGAAAATGGAAATTTTGGGGTCGAGGGATTGGACCTCGTTTCCGTGTCCAGGTCTGGAAAATCATGGAAAGAGGGACATGGAGGGGCTGGAGGGGTGGGAATGGGGCTGGGGAAGGGTCTGGAAAATCCTGAGGGAGCTGGGGGGCTCAGCCTGGAGAAAAGGGGGATCCAGGAGGAATTTGGGCTCTGATCCAGGCAGAATTTAGGATCTGATCCCAGGGAATGGAACACGACAAGAGGGAACGGCCTTGAGCTGTGCCAGGGGAGGCTCAGGGTGGGAAATTTGAGAAAATCCCTCCTGGAAAGGGTGGCCAGGGGGAAATTTGGGCTCTTCCAGGGGGGATTTGGGATCTTATCCTAGGGAATGGGACTGGACAAGAGGGAACGGCCTCAAGCTGTGCCAGAAGATGCTCAGGGTGGGAAATTTGAGAAAATCCCTCCTGGAAAGGGTGGGCAGGCCTTGGAAGGGGCTCAGGGTAGGTTGGATGGGCCACACCTGGAGATGTCCAAGGAATTCCTGGGGATTCCTCTGGATGACCAAGGTGGGCTTAGACACATCTTGGACTTGATTTTCCCAACCTCAGGGATTTTATGATCCTGGAAAATCTTCGGCCCTTCAGCACAAGACCCTTGGAGCCAGGGGTGCTGCCCTTGTGGAATTCCCTCATGGAATTCCCTCATGGAATTCTCTCACTGAATTCCCTCATGGAATTCCCTCCGGAACTCCTGACCTGCCATGGAGGAGTCACCGGAGCCACCGAAGGACGTCGCTGTGGGGTCCTGACTCAGCGACACCAACGTGACACCTCCAATGACTCCAATTGCCCACGGACGTAATGGAGATTCCCAAATGAGTGCCAATTAGGGATAACGACCCGGCCCCATGACGTTCCCACGTGTCGGAGCGCGGGTCCCTTTACGTCTCCCGAAACAATCCCCAATTTCTGGCTAATCAAAGTTAACTACAGGGTGTAAAACAACTCGGGGTAGAAAGGGAGGTGCAGGACTGGTCCTCAGAGATGGTTTGGAGGTGAGCCTGGAGCTTGAGGAGATAATGAGGAGCTGTTCCAACCGGAATATGGGATATTCCTCGGGAAGATAAGACTTGGAAGCTGCTCTGGGGGAAAATTTCCACCCCTGGCAGCTCGAGGAGGAGAAAATGAGGACGGATTCATCTGCCTAAAAATTCATCTCGCAAATCTGAGCTCTGCTGGGTGCAGTTTCTCCTCCCGTGGCAAAGGAGGATGAGCAAACCACACTCCGCCAGTCCCAGTTTATCCCTGGAAAAGCCTCGGGAGCAGCAGAGCCTCCGGGGAAGGGAGAGAAGCTGCACGTGGGGAGCTGAGTGTGTGGAAAAGCTGAGGTGGCAAAAAACCCCGTGGAGATCCATCAGATCTGGGTGGAATTCCAGTCCAAGCACTGGGAATGAACCGGTGCCGATGCCTGGAATTCTCCAGGAGACTCCGGGTTTGGGGCGTAAACAGGACGTGCTGCTCGTGCTGGGTTGGTTCGTTTTGGGGTGGCTTTTTTCCCCTATTTAGCATTTTTGTGATGGGCACATTCCCATCTCTGTGATCGAAATATCTGGGAGCAACATGAATTTTCCATAAACAGCAGAACTTTAATAAAAATTATTATTATTATTAGTATCATCCTGGGCCTAAATCCCACTTAAACTGGAGCTTTTCTGTGAGGGAAAAACATTTTTAAGATGAGGATTATTCTGCCTTGAATGGCTTGAAGTGTTCCTCAAAAAACGTGGAGTTGTGTCCCCACTGGAATTTCCAAGCACACATGGTGTTAATCCGTGGAAAATAATGGATTGGATGAATGAAATAATTTAATTTATCAGGAAAACGGGGTCCTCAAGGTTTCGTGGGAGCTCTGGAGGATTGGCTGTGCCTTTCCATGAGAATTAGGACAGGCTATTTCTCATAGTAAATCCAATTAATTACCCATCTTCCCTAATAACAGCCATTCCATGTTGGAAAAACTCCAGCTATCAAAACCCAACATTTATGGAAATAAGGCCACGGAAACGTCCCAGCGCATTAAATCCCTTTCTGAAAACCAATTAATTCAGCACCCGCTGGTTTGTATTTTTTTTAATGACTCCGCCATTCCCGTTGGGAACCGCATGACCGGGACGGGAGCGCGGCTGCCTCAGCATCACCTGCTTTCCTGGAAGAGGCCTTCCACCAAAAATTAGGATGCAAACAAACATGCAAAGCATGTGGAGGAGGAGCCTGCCGGGGCAGTTTGTGGTCACCTGTCCGTCCCCCTGGGCTCCCGCGTTTCCGGAGCTGACGCCACTCCGGCCGTATAAAAGGTTTGGGTTCCGAGGCTCCCGCCAGTTCCTTTGGCTTCTCCGTCGCTCGCCAGGACCGGTGACCTCTGGTAAGTCCTCCTTGGCTTTATCAGGGAATTTTTATCAGGATATCTCGTGGAAAAGAGAGTTCACTCCGAGTTCCAGGAGAGCTTCGCTCTTGTGCTTCTCTTCTGGGATTTGTGCTGGAATTGGGGATTTTATTTAGGGTTTTGTCTGTCTGGAGGAGCTTGGAGAAGTCACCTTGTCCAGAAGTGTGGCTGCTTCTCCTCCTCCCTCCTGTTCCATCCTGGTTAATTTGCTCCTGCCTCGTTAAGGCTGGGAATTAAATAAATTAATGGATGCCGTGGAGCAGCTCCTGGGACTTCAAACGGGATGGGTGGGAAGAGGCTCTATCCAGAAGGAGGGAGTGCAGGATTCCTGCAGGCAAAGCCTGGGGAGATCCCTGGGACAAGCCAAGAGGAGGAAATGAGCTGGAAATGGGAGCTGCAGCCTCTGGGCCTGGTGGAAGGATGAGCCCCATTAATCTCCCAAAAAAAAGTTCCAGTGAAGTCCCAGGATCTGGAGGATCATCAGGATGAGAGAGCTGGGAATGTTCAGCCTGTGGAGACCTCAGGTGCAGGATCTGCAGGGGCTTCCAGAGAAGCTGGAGCGGGATTTTCCTCAGGAATTTCAGGGACAAGTCACGGAATGATTTTACACTGAAAAATGGGAAATTTAGGTATTGGGAAGAAACCATGAGGGTGGTGAGGCCCTGGACCAGGTTATCCCATGGATTCCTCATCCCTGGAAGTGTCCAAGGCCAGGTTGGACAGGTCTTGCAGCAACGTGGTCTGGGCTGGAACGAGATGATCTTTGAGATCCCTCCCAACCCAAACCACTCCATGATTCCATGGGATAATGGTGGGGATTTGTGGCCTCTGGGCTTTGTGGTTGGGAATTCCCAGCCTGGGGGACGTGCCCAGGTGGGCGTGAGGATCTGATAAGGAAGAGACGAGCCCTGGAACTGCTGCTGATGGAACTGGGAATAGGAGGAACTGGGGTATTTTTGTGTTACGGCTTCTACAAAGTTGGAATTCCCATAAAATTCAGGATTTGTAGCTCGAGGCTTCCTAACAGGTTCCCAGTGAAGGAAGGGGTTCTCTGCTGCATTAATTCCATAAAAACTCTGGGTTTGGCCCACAGGCACAACCTGGCACACAGTGGGAGCTTTATCTCCCAAATTTGGGATTTAACTCCCTCCAGACCATGGGGTCGCCTTCAGCTTCAAATTTATCCAGCATAAAGCTGGAGGAACCTTTATTGAAATTAGAGCTGGACTTGATGAGATCTTTGTGGGTCCCTTCCAACTCCAGAACCCAGGAATCCTGGACACAGGATCTTTTCCTAACATTGCTTTCCTCATCCAAACACGAACCCGCGGGGACCTCACTCCCCGAATTGCGCCTGGATAAGAACTAACCGATATCCTGATAATTTTTTTTTGTCTCTTTCTCAGCTTTTTCCCAGCTTTTTCCCACTTCCAAAGCACCTCCCCAGGATGTCCTACTACTACGAGCAGTGCAAGCAGCCCTGCCTGCCCCCTGCCTGCCTGCAGAAGTGCGCCAAGTGCCCGGATCCCTGCGCCACCCAGTGCGTCGAGGTCTGCCAGGCCCCCTGTGCCACCACCTGTGTCACCCAGTGCGTGGAGCCCTGTGCCACCCAGTGTGCCACCAGCTGTGCCCCGCAGTGCGTGGATGTGTGTGCCCACCAGCTGTGCCCCGCAGTGCGTGGACGTCTGCGCCAAGCCCTGCTCCAGCCAGTGCGTGGAGGTCTGTGCCCCTCAGTGCGTGGACGTCTGCCCCACTCAGTGTGCCACCAGCTGTGCCCCTCAGTGCGTGGACGTCTGCCCCACTCAGTGTGCCACCAGCTGTGCCCCGCAGTGCGTGGATGTCTGTGCCACCCAGTGTGCCACCAGCTGTGCCCCGCAGTGCGTGGATGTCTGTGCCACCCAGTGCCCCGAGCCTGTGCCACCAAGTGCGTGGAGCAGTGCCAGACCGAGGTTTGCAGCACCAAGTGCGTGGAGTCGTGCGAGGCCGTGTGCCTGGAGCCCTGCTCCCGCCCCTGCTGATCCCTGACACGGGCCTGGCCCCGCGGGGCGACTCCGGTGACCGGTGAGGAGCCAAAATCGCGGGTTCTGGATGGAAAACACGGTGCAGACCCATTGGCGACGCAAGATCCTGCTCTGATCATCCCATGTTGTCTTCATCTTGGAAAACGTTTCCTGTCTGAGTGTTCCCTGTGTTTTCACTTCTGCTCCTGCTGTGCCGGTGTTTTTCCATGGGTATTCCCAATATTTGGGAATACCCGGAAGCGCTGTCAGCAGCTGGCGGTGGAAGGTGTCGACGCTTTTCCCCTTCCCTTCTCCTCTTGTCTCTTCTCAGTCTTGTGAATTCTCTGTGCAGCAATAAAAAATGACCATCGATGGCACCAGCGGTCTTTTGTCTTTTTTCTCCCCATTTCCACAACTTCAGGCCCCAAAATATCTTCCTTAATTTCAGTTTTCAAAAGTGGTTGGGGAGGGCTTTGTGCCTGAAGTAAAAAATCAAAAGTGGTTGGGGAGGGCTTTGTGCCTGAAGTAAAAAAACATTTAAATATGGAGAAATTCCTACTAATTCAACAAGGAAATCATCGTCTGGTCAATTCCTTTCTGAAATTATTGATAGGAATTTGATTTTCAGACAGAGTTTTGGTCTTCACACCTTGGGATTTTGGAGGCAAATCCTAGAAACCGTTAAAAGGCGAATTTAAGTAGAAGAAAGCCTTAAATTAATTAATAAAAGAATTGAACACCTGGAAGGCACAATTTTGAATAAATTTAAATCATTAAATTTTAGTAATTAAACAAATAAATATTTAAATAAATGAGTAAATTCTAAGCAACTTTAATAATTCTAAATAATTTTAATAAAGGCTCCTCCACCTTTATTCTGGATAAGTTTGAAGCTGAAGGTGACCCTGTGGTCTGGAGGGAATTAAACCCATAAAAACCCCCAAATTTTGGAGATAAAGCTCCCTCTGTGTCCCGGGTTGTGCCTGTGGCTTTCTTCACCTCCGGCTCCGTCTGGGAATGCTGAAATCGCTCCCCACCTACCCCCTCATTACGGGAAGGGTGGGGAACACCTAATCTGGAGAAGAAAAGAGAGATATTTATATTCGGGGGCGTGCCGACGCTGTTTCCAAATCTCCTCTTTAATGTGCAGGTGGGGAGGCGAGGAGCAGGTTCCTCTTTGTGTCCCTCGCTGTCGACACCGGGAGGTGGCACCAGGAGGTGACACCAGGAGGTGACACCTTCAGGTGGGGATCACAGGAGGCAAAAAATAACCACACCTGGGGAAGGCAAACGCCTGAGCACACCTGGGAGGCAAAGCAGGAGCAAAAATTCCCCAAAAAAGATGGGTGGGGAAGTGAGGAATCAGCACCTGGAATTTGAGGATCTGCCTCAGGAGCCACTCGGAGGTGACACTTTTGTGGCATCTTAGGGGCATGGAAAAGGTTTTAGGAATGAGGGTGAACAACCCCACACCTGAGAGGCAAAGTAGGATCAAAAATTCCCCAAAAAAATGGGTGGGGAAGTGAGGGATCAGCACCTGGAATTTCTCCCTGGAATTTGAGGATCTGCCTCAGGAGCCACTCAGAGGTGACACTTTTGTGGCATCTCGGGGACATGGAAAAGGTTTGAGGAATCAGGGTGAACAACCCCACACCTGGGCCAGAAATTCACAGGAAAATGGATGGGAAAATGAGGAATCTCCACCTCAAATTCCTCTCAAGGAACCCAAATCCTTGAGGATCCAAGCTCTGCCATGGAGGTGACGCTTTTGTGACATCTTGGGGGCATGGAAAAGGTTTTAGTCAGGAATCATGGAAAATAAAACAAACCCTGCACCTGAAGACACCTGGGCTGGGCATTCCCAGGAAAAATGATGGGGAAATGAGGAATTTGCGCCTCAAATTCCTCCGAAATTTTGGGGATTCAAGCTCTTGGAGGCCTGGAAAAGGTTTAAACCGTGAATCATGGAAAAGGCTTAAATCAGGAATCACGTGGAGCTCCAACGCTGTGAATCACCTGATTCTGGACCATCTCCATCACCTGTGCCTTGAAATGGAATTTTTCCATTTTATCTGGGATCACGGGAGCACCTGGAAAATCCTGGAGGGACCTGCTGTGCTCCCAACATTTCCTGTGGCCAAGCCCTGACGCACCAGCTGTGGTCAGCGTCGGGAATTGCTGGAATTCCTGGGATATTTGCAATAAATTAGGGATATTTCATCAGATGGAGGAGCCTGGAGAATATTCCTGATTTATTGTGGGGAAAAAGAAAAAAAAAAGTTCATTCTTGTTTTTTGCAATGGGAAATAGAGGTGGAAAACAGCAAAATCCAGAACCAAACTGGGATTTGATGCCTCTCCAGGTTCCAAACTGGGATCTGGAGCCTTTCCAGGTTCCAAGCTGGGATCTGGAGCCTTTCCAAGTTCCAAGCTGGGATCTGGAGCTTTTCCAAGTTCCAAGTTGGGATCTGGTGCCTTTTCCAGGTTCCAAACTGGGATTTGGTTCTTTTCCATGTTCCAAACCGGGATCTGGTTCTTTCCCAGTTTCCAAACTGGATTTGGCTCTTTCCCAGGTTCCAAACTGGGATCTGGTGCCTTTCCCAGGAGACAGGACAGATTCCCAACCCCACTCAGACTTCTCCAGGTGCTCCCACCCAAAAATTATCCCCAAACCAGCCAAAACAAACCCTAAAACAACTGTGAGTTGTCCCAGCTGCCGATTCTTTGTGGGATCTCTGCCGGGACGGGGATGTTGCGAATTATTAAGAAATTATTAATGAATTATTAACAAATCACCCCGCGATGAGCAGCCCTGGGTGTGCCCAGGGTGAAGAACACCCAGTCCCCCGCAGAAGATGGGAGAGGAGGGAATTTCAGCCGGGCTTTGACCGAGGTCCAGGAGGAGGTGGGAGCGGAGCCGGTTCCGGTTGTGAAAGATTCTGGTCACCGAGTTTAATCCGGAGTCATCCCGAGGGATATAAAAGCTGCTCCCTGGGGAAGCTCCACACCCGCAGCGGCTCCTCCTGATCTCCCTCCTCCAGCAGGACGTGCCAGGTGAGTCCTTCCCTGCCCTCTCGCTGCCCAGGTGAGGGGTTTGGGGTGGGAAAAATGGGATTTTTCACTGTTTTCCTCCCCAAACTGGGGTTATCTCCCCAAAAATGGGATTTGTCACCGTTTTCTTCCCCAAACTGGGATTGTCTCCCTAAAATGGGATTTTTTGCTGTTTTCCTCCCCAAACTGGATTGTATCCCCAAAAAAATGGGATTTTTTTGCCATTTTCTTCCCCAAACTGGAGTTTTGGAGCTTTTCTCCTCCACAAATTCTGCCTGCAACAGGCGGAAATTTGTAGTATATAATTTTGGAAATTTTGAGGCTCCATCCACTGGTTTGGGATTCTTTGGGTCAGAACTCCATGATAATTTTTCTGGGATTGATAAGAATCCGTGGATAACCAAGGTTGGCATCCACAGGCAGAGGATGGAACAGCTTCCAGGATTTCCGGGGATCCTGGTTCCGTTTTCTTGGATAAAATCCTCAATCCACCTGAATTTCATGGCCCCGGGTGTAGCTCCTGGTCAGGGGGGTCTCGAGGAGCTGGGCAGAGGCGTGGTGGTTCCAAAAATTGGTATCAAATATTGGGACTCGTATCAAATATTGGGAATATTATCAAATATTGGGATTGGTATCAAATATTGGGGTTGGTATAAAATATTGGGAATATTATCAAATACTGGGATTATTATAAAATATTAGGATTGGCATCCAATATTAGGATTGTTAGCAAAGTATTTTTCCCTGCCAAAACTCCCAATTTTCTCAGTTTTCTGCTCTTCTTTGGCTGCTTTTCTTGGAGCTTCTCCTTGAGTTCAGCTTTTCTCCAAATCCACTTTTTTCCCTGAGATTTTAAAGTTTAAATTCCCGGGAAAAAATGAGCAGAGGGAAAGAAGGAAAACCCCTGGTGCCGTTTGTCTCCTCTCCAGCTCTGCAGCCTTTCCCTGGCTTTGTTGGGCTGAGTTTTGCCTCTGATCCCCATTTTACTCCCTGATCCCTCAGCCAGGTGACCGATGCCACAGGAAGTGGGATGGGATCCAAAAAAAACCCCAATAACGTGTGGGAAACAACTCCCCAAAATTCAGACCTCAGGGATTTAACTCCCCAAACTTCAGACTTCAGGGATTTAACTCCCCAAAATTCAGACTTCAGGATTTAACTCCTCAAAATTCAGACTTCAGGGATTTAACTCCCAAAATTCAGACTTCAGGGATTTAACTCCTCAAAATTCAGACTTCAGGGATTTAACTCCCCAAAATTCAGACTTCAGGGATTTAACTCCCCAAAATTCAGACTTCAGGGATTTAATCCTGGTTTGGGATTGAGTTGAAATCAGCGGGGTCGAACTCAAAGCTGAGGCAGCGCCCGGAACCTCAACACCCCAAAAAGGCGAATTTAAGCCTAAAATTTGCTCGTTTCTCTCCGTGATTTTGAACTCCAGGATGTCCCAGCAGCAGAAGCAGCCGCAGCAGATCCCGGCCCAGTGCCAGCAGAAATGCGGGGGCCTTCCCAAGGGGGTCCAGCAAAGCCAGGCCTGCAAAGGCCAGGCCTGCAAAGGCCAGGCCCAGGCGGCCGTGAAGAGCGTCCCCCAGCAGCAGCAGCAGCAGCAATGCTCCAAGCAGAAGTAGGAGCCATCCCAAATCCCAAATCCTGCTTTTCCCACCTCTCCGGGCTCCCGGGAACGCCTCCAGACCTGCAGCCACCTGCTTCGCTTGCCAGGAATTACCTCATAACGAGATGCGCTTAATTAGGTTTAAAAAAAAAAAAAGATAAATGAGCGGCGGGGGATGGTTTTAATTCAGAGCTTAATTTGGGATGTGGTGCAATAAAATGATGGAATGAACTCGTGGTTGCTTCCCGGTGTTTTTGTTGGGGGTTTTCTCCCGTTTTCCCCTTTTCTTTCTCTTTCCCTAAAATATCAACTTTAAGCACATACAAACCCGGCTTTTGCAAGCTGAGCTTCCTCTCCACCTTTTTCAGGAGAAGTTGTTGAAAATCTCCAAAACTTGATTTTAAAATTCCCCAAAACTTGATTTTAAAAATCCTGCAATTCGGTATGAAAATTCCTGAAACTTGGTATAAGAATTCCCACAATTTGATTTAAAAAATCCCCAAAACTTGATATAATACCCCAAAACTCAGTATAAAACTTCCCAAAGCTTGATTTAAAAATCCCCAAAACTTGATAGGAACCCTCCCAAAACTCAGTATAAAACTTCTCAAAATTTGATCTAAAAAATCCCCAAAGCTTGATATGAACCCCCCCAAAACTCAGTATAAAACTTCCCAAAATTTGATTTAAAAATCCCCAAAACTTGATATTAAAAACTGCCAAAACTTGGTACAAAACCCCCCAAAATTTGGTGCAAAAATCCCCACAACCTGGTATAAAAACCCCCAAGGCCAGTAACAAAAATTCCCAAAACTCGATACTGAAAGTCGCTTTTATTGCGGAATTTTCACAGTGAAATAAATCCTGGATCCAACAGCAGCCGAAAACAATCGGGAGACCGAGTCCCAAACACCGACGGGTGGCGAAACATTCCCGGCTGGAATTCCTCCTTGATCCCGTCTGCGCCACGCCCGGGGTTAATCCCTTCCCAAACATGTCTGGAGTGGAGTTAATTATCCATAAATTTGGGTAATTACGGAATATTCACGGCCTGACCTGTTCTTTGACACCTCCGAGGAAATTCAAGGGGAGAGCGAGCTCGGATTTATCCTAAAATTCTTCCTTTTCCCCCCCTCAATCCCAAAGGATTCTTTTAAATTCCACCAAATCGGATCTATCCTAAAAATCTTCATTTTTCCTCCCTCAGTCCCGAAGGATTATTTTTTATTCAGCACTAATTCCCGAACTTGGAAGTTTTGAGCGTTTAGGCGGCAGATCCCGCACGAAATCTGATTATTTATAGGGAAAAACTTCCCAAATTCCGGGTGGGAGCTGGAATCCAGGGGGAGAAAAGGCAGGAAAAAGGGGATGAGCTCTTCCAGGATTTTGGGTTTTTAACTTCACGAACCCCGCCTTGCTCCATGAATTTTTTAGGGTATTTTTTTGGCATTTCAAAGCCTGGGGATTGGGGAAAAATGGCAGGAATTTGGGAAGGGGAGCTACAACCCTGCTGGAAAAGCATTCCCGACGGGAATTCCCTGCTGTTAGTAGAGGACAAGGCGTTAGCGGGAGGGGCGGCTGGAAGGAATTCCTGACAAAAGCTCTGCAGGGGTTAAAAAAAAAAAAAAAACACAACAAAAAAGGCTTGGAAAAAACCCTCTGGATTCGGGGAAAAAAATCCCCGGGATGGGGATTTTCCCTTTATTTCTGCCACGGGCCGGGCTGCTCCAGCTGCTGCTCCAGGGGAGGGAATTTCTCGGAAGGGAGCGCTGCTGCTGCTCCGGGATGGGCACCGGGATCTCCTGGAATTCCTGTTTTTCCTGGGAAGATGGGATGGGGTCTGGGAGTGGGATGGGGACAGGGGTGTCCTTGCACTCCTGCTTTTCTGGGATGGACACCGGGATTTCCTTGCACTCCTGTTTTTCCTGTTTTTCTGGGATGGACACCGGATTTCCTTGCACTCCTGTTTTTCTGGGATGGACACAGGGATTTCCTTGCACTCCTGTTTTTCCTGTTTTTCTGGATGGACACAGGGATTTCCTTGCATTCCTGTTTTTCTGGGGATGGACAACAGGGATTTCCTTACATTCCTGTTTTTCCTGGGAACACGGGGTGGGTTCAGGGTTTGAAACTGGGATGGGGACAGGGGTGTCCTTGCACTCCTGCTTTTCTGGGATGGACACCGGGATTTCCTTGCATTCCTGCTTTTCCTGGGCACACTGGACAGGGTCGGGGACGGAAACTGGGATTTCCTTGCACTCCTGTTTTTCTGGGATGGACACTGGGATTTCCTTGCACTCCTGTTTTTCCTGTTTTTCTGGGATGGACACCGGGGTTTCCTTGCACTCCTGTTTTTCCTGTTTTTCTGGGATGGACACCGGATTTCCTGGCGCTGCTGCTTGTCCTGGGCGCAGGGAACGGGAACGGGAACCGGGATCTCCTTGACCTCCTGCTTCTCCAGCGTCGGTTCCTGGCAGGATTTCTCTTCCAGGCGCGGAGCAGGTTCGGGGTTCGGGAATGCCGCGGGGATTTGGGTTTGCTGCTCCTGGGGCAGGGCAGTTTCCCCTTTTCCCGGTTCTGCGATCGCCTTTTCTGGGAATTTCGCCTTTTCCGGGAGCGGCTCGGGCACCGGGATTTGGGGATGCTCCGGGCTCTGTTTTGGGGTGGTTTTACCCAAACCGGGGGGGAGCTGCAGCTCCTGCTTGATTTGCATCTGGTTCAGAGACATCTCTGCGGGAAAACGGGATCACCTGGGAAAAAAAGTGGGAATTTCTTCTGTTACCGGGACGAGGGTGACAAAATCCTAAAATTTTAAAAAGTCGAGTTTTCCTCCTCTGCCCTTGGCTTCCCGAAGCTAAAACCAAACATTTCAGGACGTTTGGTGTGCCAGAAAAAAAAAAAATTATATCAATGCGGGGCCAAGGGGGTGTTTTGGACTGGTAAACCCTAAATAATTCCTGCTTTTTTTCCCGTCGATTTTCAGCTTTTCCTTGGAATTCGGAACGCCAGGAGAGGTTCCTGGAGGCTCCGGCGAGCTGAGGGTTAAATTCCCAGGAGAGAGCTCCTCCTCTCGTTCCGGTCTCACCCGGCTCCGGTGACAACGCCGAGGGTTTGGGTGACCCTGGAAGGGTCCTGGGAACGGAATTCTCTGGGATAAAGCGTCCCCGAGGTCCGGGATTGTCACCGCTGTCCCCTCCTGAGTCAGAGCGGGCAGAGCGGGTTTCTCCTCCCCGACAATTTGGGGATAATTTGGGGACAATTTGGGGACAATTTTGTGGCCGCTGGAGGCTCGCCCGGACCTCGGGAATTCCTGCGCTGCCGCTTTTTAAAATCCGAGGAGTGAAAGGTGAGAATTCCAAGAGGGATTTGAACTCCCAAGGCAGAGAAAGGGAAAATTCCTCCTCCCTTCCCCAGCTCCTCTCACAGCCAATCCCCTCCCTTCTTGCCTTTTATTTATTTATTTTTTTAAAACATCTGATAAGACCTTGATTAATTAATTAGTTAATTAATTAATTAAGATCTTGTTCCTGACATGGATGAGGCAGCACTCCTCATATTTTCACTCCTTGCCTCCCTGCAGCGCCCTCTTACTCCCAAATTTGCCTCTTTCCAAGGAATTCTTGGGTGAAATTGAAGTTTTAAAAGCATTTTGGTTATAAAATCAAATTGGAAAATCAATTTGCCAGGAGAGGGTTTGGTGTACATCCCTGGAGGGAGGAGATTGGCCCTTGAACCAACGGAATTCCATCTGATCCCTGCCTCGGGAAGGGTCTAATTTAGGGCTTAATTACCCTCAGATTTAGGCTCGGTCTTAATTTGCCTCCCAGTGCCATTTCCACGCTGCCCCAACGCCCACAAATTCCCTCCTTTCCAGGAACCCTCTGCGTATCCCAAGGCGTCAAATCCAACCTTTCCTGAAAGGCAGAACCCCAAACATCCCCCAGAAATTGAGATTCTTAATTCCAAACATCACCCCAAAATATCGAGATTCTCCATTCGAATATCTCCCAAAATATCGGGATTCTCAATCCCAAATATACCCTCCAAAATATCAAAATTCTGAAACCCAAACCTCTCCAAAAATCCCAGGATTCTCAATCCTAAATATCCCCTGAAATTCTCAATATTCTCAATCCCAAACCTCCCCAAAAATCTCAATATTCTCAATCCCAAACCTCCCTAAAAATCTTGATATTCTCAATTCCAAACCTCCCAAAAATCCCAGGATTCTCAGTCCCAAACCTCCCTAAAAATCTCAGAATTCTGAATCCCAAACCTCCCTGAGGAACCTTGGGATTCCCAACCCCAAAATTCCCCGAGGAACCTCGGGATTGCGGGACTCACCCAACCGGTGCCGAGGGAGCAGCGGGAGCGGAGAGTGGATGCTGGAGAGGGGAGATTTGGGATCTTTTATAGGGTTTGGAAGCCCTGCCTTCTGGGAATGAGTCCTCCTGGCTGATGAGCTCATTCTTTCACAAGAACCTTGCCCGGCCGGGTTTACACGTAGGCACTTTCCAGAGAGGATTCTGAGTTCGTTCCCCTGACTAATCCCGCTGAACCGTGGGATTTCACCCTGGATAAAGGTCAGAGCCTTGGATCGTGGAGTTCTTGGAGACCCCCTTGAGGTTTGGGGGCTGGGTGGGGTTTGGTGCCACCTCAACCCATCCAGGGGTCATTCCATAGATAAAATCCCCTCTGATGTCTGAAATTTCTGGGATTTATTGGGATTTCCCACCTCAACCCATCCAGGGGTCATTCCACAGTTTAACCTCCCCTTAAGTGTCTGAAATTCCTCGGATTTATTGGATTTCCCACCTCAACCCATCCAGGGGTCATTCCACAGCTAAAAGACCCCCAATATCTGAAATTACTGGGATTTATTGGGAATTCCCACCTCAACCCATCCAGGGGCCATTCCACAGCTAAACCTCTCCCACTTGTCTGAAATTCCTTGGATTTATTGGGATTTCCCACCTCAACCCATCCAGGGGTCATCCCACAGTTTAACCTCTTCTGGTTTTCCTTGGGAAGAACTTTATGGATTTCCCTCCACTTTCATTTCAGTCTGGAATCACCAGGAGGGATTTCCTGGAAATTCCAGGAATTTCCTCCTGGAGAGGGTGGTCAGGGTTCACAGAGAGGTTTGGAGTCACCACCCCTGGAAGTGTCCAAGGAATTCCTGGAAAGGGATTGATCCATCTAAAGATGAACTCAATCATCTTGGAGGGCTTTTCCAACCTCAATAATCCTGGAATTCCCCCGATAAATCTCATTTTCCATGGAGATGCAGCCCCCACCCATCCAAATGTGATGGAGCAGGGAGCTGAGTTCACCCCCGGAGATTTTTAACAAAATCCAAGATTTTCCCCACCCAAATGAATTTGGGGAAGCGGCCCCACGGAATTCCAGAAGGGAATTTAAAAGGTGCTTCAGCCTAGATGTGAAATAAAGGGAATTCTGCATTCCCTGAGGATTAGTCCAGGTGGAATGAGAACGAGACATTTATGGAATGGGAAAAACCTCAGAAATCCAATCCCAATCCCCCAAATCTCCAGGATCCATCGGGACACAGCTCCTGGAGACGCCGTGTCCCACCCAGACGGGAATTTCATCACCTTTGGTAATCCCGGGCTCATCTCCGCGGCTTTTCCGGAGCTTTTATCGGATCAAGATCCCGACACGATCACTTCCAACAGGCTGAGCTGGTCCCACGTCACCTCCCGGAATTCCTGGGCAACACCTGGAAGCGGCTGCAACTTCCTCCCTCAACAACCCTTTGGCAACACAAGGCTGGAAAATTCCAGAATTTTCTCCCGTCCGTACAATTCCCGTTTTTCCCAGGGTCGTGCCTCGCTGTTCCCGCTGGGATAGGCTCGGTTTTAGTCTCCAGCTTTGGGGATCCCCCAGCCCAAGCCCAAAGCCTGACTCAGGCCTTGCTGGTGCTCCGCTGGTGCCGATTCCAGGCTGGAATTAGGGCACTTCCCAGACCTGCCCGGCTGCTTTCGAGGCAGCCTGGTGGCTGGCAGGGCTCGGAACCGAGATAAGCTCCTGGAATTGTGCCCTTCCTGCGGGGGAGATGCAGGGAAGGAGATCAGAGTGCTCAAAACCTGGGGGTTCGGCACTGCCCCGTTCCTGGAGGTGTCCGAGGAAAGGTTGGATGGGGCTTGGAGGGACCTGGGATAGTTGGAATTGTCCCTGGCTGTGGCAGGGGCTTGGAACGGGATGATCCTGAAGGTCCCTTCCAACCCAAACCATTCCATGATCCTCTGATTTTCTGGGATTCTCTGATTTTATTACCCCATGATTTTATTCTTCTGCTATTCCGTGATTCTCTGATCCTCTTATTCCATGATTTTCTGATTCTCTGACTCTATTATTCCATGATTTTATGATTCTGTGATCCTCTGATTCCATCATTTTGTGATTTTATGATTTTATGATTCCATGATTTCATGATTCCATGATTCTCTGATTCTATTATTCCATTATTTTCTGACTCCACCATTCCCTAACTCCATGATTTCATGATCCTCTGACACTCCATGATTCCCTGATTCCATTATTCCATGATCCTCTGTTTCCATGATTTCATGATTCCGTGATTCTCTGATTCTATTATTCCATAATTCTCTGATTCTATTATTCCATTATTTTCTGATTCCACCATTCCCTAACTCCATGATTTCATGATCCTCTGACACTCCATGATTCCCTGATTCCATTATTCCACCATTTCATCATTCCCTGATCCCGGTTTTTGCCCCGCCAAGGCCGGAGCAGCCGAGTTTGAGAGCAGACAGGGAATTTCACCACCTCCAACCTTCCACCCGAATTTTTGTGCAATATTCCCGAGGGAATTCTCCTCCTCAGGTCGGTGCTGAGCCCCAAAGAGGGACAGGACATCTCCACCTGCTCGGGACATTTTTATTTAAACAACAAATAAAAGATTTCTGGAATGTTTCGGTGCCAAATTTAAACCCAGAACGTGCAACACCCAGGGATTAAAGTCAAACACTTCCCATGGCTGGGAGGGAGAGACCTAAACCCAAACCTAATCCTAAACCTAATCCTAAACCCTGTCTGGAGATCAGGAGATGTGGCCTGACCTTAAACTGGTTTGGATCCAGTCTGGAAATGCTCCGGAGGTCACCGGGCAGCAACCTCAGCACAAAAATTGTGGATGTTGCCCAAAGAGGCTCCAGAGTCAGCCCCTGGAAAGGGAGGGAACGTTTTTCCCGGAGGAGAGGTGGAATTGCTTTTCCCAGCCCCGGGAATTGCACAAAAATCTATTTTTAGCCAAACCTTTGGGAAAACGACGGGAGAAACGTGAGGGAATGGAGGGAACGTGGAGCTCCTGGTCTGTCCCAAATATTCCACAAATTCCAGGGACTGCCACATCGCGGAGAAAGAAATTCCCAGCCCGGCACTCCTGGGTGGGATTTGCTGCTCCAGATCCCACAAATCCCGAATTTATCAGGGATCTCCCAGGTGATTCTCAGGAATTATTCCAGGAGATCCAAACGGGAGCTGGTGGCTCCATCAAGGATGTCATGGAGGGGTCTCGGTGTCTCCAAGGTTCCCGGGGCTCCTTCGCTTCGCTCTGCCAAAAAAAATTGATCCAAATTTTGGGAAGTGAGACCCAAAGACCCCATGGATGCTCCCTTGACCTTTTTTGACGCTTCAGATTTGGGAATTTTCATGCAATTCCCAGATTTTTTTGGGTAGTGA